ATTGAATATATTAATGCTGGTAAAGAGTTGATAAATATAGGAAAGAAGATTTTTAATTACAAAGATACTGTTAAGAGGAAAGAAAGATAACCATGAGTATGGAACTTGAACACTTTCATTCATCCAATTTTATAGAAAAAAGACTCTGGGATATATACTATCTAAAGAAAACAGAAGTCCCCTGTTCAGATCAACAGAAACAGATAAGGCAGTCATTGTCCAACCTGTTTTTCTATATAAATACTAGCTGAGATAGACATTTTATAATGAAGCAAAATGATAATGCTTTCCTCTAACACTTACATAGGCCTCTTTGTAAGGTGGGTTGATAATCAAAGAAGTATCACAGAAACCCTGGCAGTAAGAGTATGTTTCACAAACAGAAAAGTAAAAATTGTAAACATGATAAAAGTTATTTTAACCTGCTACTCTCTTTATTTATAACTAAACCATCAGATCATTGTTTTTTACAGTGACACTCAGCATAATTTAAAAACTACAAAAGTCAGATTTGCTTATCTTGGAAAATTAATACAACCTGAGAGGAACCTCCCCCAGCCAAATAAAAACTATTTTAAAGTATAACATACTTTGACTGGACATTTTAATATTTTTAAAACAGAGACCCTTTTGACTCCTTTTACATGTTACATAACCAACACTTTTACTAAACAAAAAGTATGATTAAAGGCCTGTATTCATTAAATGATAAATGATAAACTCCAGTCTCTACCCTGTCAAATACTAAACTCTGCAAGCTTTCAGTGCTAAGTATCTTTATGTCAGTTGTTTATTTTTCCTTTCCCAGCGATTGGAGGTTTAAAAATATTATATTACTTATAGTTAGTAAATAAGGGAATTCCAGTGCCAAATATTTGCACAAGATAATGGAACAGCCGCCTTTCTGTAAAGAATGTTCAAGGACTACAATACTAACAGGCAAGAATATTTAATACCCGTTGGTCAAAACACACACACAAATAATACAGCCAAAGGCAGGCACATACACGCACACACACGCACAGAGGTTAGCTAATTCTCAAAGCAATGTGACAGTGGACATAGGTTTGTTACTTTCTGTGGACTATCATTCTTTTTTCTTTTTCCAACAGCAGGGATTGAACCAGCACCATAAGCTTGTGGGGCAAGTGCAGGGCTGCTGAGTCACAACCCCAGCCCTAAGATCCATCATTCAACACATCCAATATCTTTCTATACATTTTTCAAAGAAAAGGCCACACCGAATCTCCTTCCTTTTTAAATAATGGGGCAGGGATAAGGGGACAAAATGAGAATCGAGACCTGTCATGTAAAGGTAGAAGATCCCAGTAGTGAATGTAACTGTACTGTATACCTAAAATGTACCAATAAACTCCAATTAAAATTAAAATAATAACTAGGACAAGGTCGGTCTAATTCATGAAGAAAAAGTTACAACACTAAGCCAGTTGTTGAAGAAACAATCATACAATTATTTAGCACAGGCAGAAATTCAAACACAAGAAAATATTAGCATTCCGTGATGGCTTATACTTGAATCAACATAGGCTATTCTTTACCTTCTTTTCTTTCCCACGGAATAAATATATGAAAAGAAAAAAATGGAAACAAAGTCTTTGTAAATAAAGAGGGGTGGAGAGGTTGAAGGGAGGGCAGGGGAATGGGGGAAAAATATAAGAACCAAGATACATCATGTAAAGGTACAAATTCCCGATGATGAATGTCATCATATTGAACACTTAAAAGGAATTAATATGAGAGAATGAAAAAAATGGAAACAAAGTCTTTGTAGATAGGGAGGGAGGGGTTGAAGGGAGGGCAGGGGAATAGGGAAAAAATAAGAACCAAGATTGATTAGTAAAGGTATAGATTTCCCACAATGAATGTCATTATATTGTGTACCTTAAAGTACCAATAAAATTAATTTTAAAAATAAGTATAAAATTCAATAGTAAAAAAAAGTACCAATAATCTTAACAAATACTTAAAAAAAGACTATTTAAAATGTATATTACTTTAATTCCCTTTTGGTATATTACTTTAATTCTTTTGGCCATTGCTGAGCCAATTTATCACAGGTGACACTGCTAAAGTCTCAATTACTAAGCACTGGAATCCCATGTTGCTTCAGCTACTAGAGAAGTGTGTTGTGGCAGGATCCATGGGTGTAGCTGAGGGTTGAGTCCCTGGGATCAGCGGCCTGAATCATGAGAGGTAAAGCATTAAGGGAAAGCAATATGACAGCTGGCCATGCTACAGAGGTCACCGTGTAGATGGCTTCTGTTGCCTTGGAAGCTAGGTCAGCTCACTCTACAAACTCAGCCAGATCTTAAAAGATTTACAGGGTGCGACTGGCCTCTGAAGAGGCTATCACTACAGATTATATGAGATGGGTTCCTGGTTGCCAAAACCTGTAGACAAAAATGCAATTAGGAAGCAGCCTTAGACATATCCTAAGTAACATGGCCCAAAGAATGCCAGCCTCAATTCCGACCCAGACTGTGGCTCTCACTCAGAAACCCCCACCCACTTTAATTGTGTCCAGACTCTTCCCAAATAACACAGGGACAAGAGTTTATTACAGCAGGCAGCACTGGAACAATGCTTCTCACACGACAACAAGTTAAGAAACTGAAAATTTAAGACGACTTTTGACGAGGCAGACAGAAAACGCAAACTTTGGTATCTGCCAATAACTTCTGAACCTATTCATAACTCTGAATGTATCTTTTTGTCACATTCCTTTCATTATTTTACTTTTATTTTAGGACAAGTTAAGCACTTCATCTTATTTTTGTGTATTTTCTAGAATAACCAAAAAATCCATTTATTAAAAAGACTTAAAGAAATTAGTTTCCCTTAAATTTTACAAATCTACATATACATTTTTTTTTTTTACAAGTGGACAAGCTTATTCCTTTAAAAAAAAAATGATAAATCTATTCTAGGAAAAATACTTTCTTCTTTAACCCAAAATATAGGGGATATTCCTTAAAAAAAAAAAAAGCATAAGAATACAACTCTTTGGGAATGTTACAACCTGGTGCGTAGTTATGTTTAGTGTTTGGGGAAGGAAAACTGTCTGTAAATAATAACGAAATTAAATCATCAAAGCTGCACATTAGCCAACAGGCAGTTTCCAGATGTCTAATTTAGCTTGATGGCTGTGTTTCTGCTATTAAATATGAACTACAGTAACTCAGATAAGTAGAATTTTGTTAATAATGGATATCTGGGAAAAACATCTAAAACATTAGTATTGCTTTCTCTGTTATGAACCTTTGTTATCACTAAAGCCACATAGTAAGAATAACAGTCTCTTCCATTCTCTCTTCTATCATTAACTAAGGTTCTGCACAGGGAAAGCCCCCTTATCTCATAGGGGCACAACCAGGTCACCATTTTCCTGCAGGTAATTAAACAAAAAAGTCAGAAGCAACTGAGAGAGACACTGCACCCAAGGATGTGAACACAAGATGGGTCAGATCATATCACCTTCTGCTCAGAGGACTTCAGCCTGCTGCATGCACCTGGCAATCAACACTCTCCATATCTCAGCCCCAATTCCCAGGGCCAGCACTCAGCTATACCGGCTGTTCATCCACTCAAGGACACCCACGTGTCCTTCTCCAAGCCCGCCACCGGCTTGCCCACACTGCCTCAAACAATCCCTTCAGCAGCCACTGAGTTTCTCCGGGGTGCCCTGATCCCAACAATGGCCCCCCAAAGGCACTGCTCGGCCCCAACCACTGTTCACCACCCACCTACCCTCTTCTTCCCTTTACCAAGTCTCAGCTCAAACATATTCTTATGTTCTTTTATTAAGTGCTCTCAGTGGTACAAGACTACTGTTCCTTGGAGTTCTTTCAAAATGTCTTTAATACACAAAGAGACATTTTGGAATGAAAACGATTATAAAAGGCAAGTCACAAATTATCTCATTAAAATTATCAGTCCATGCTGTCAACTCAGTGGTACAAACCCTGCACACACCTGAATTTTTAAAAAAGTTTTAAGTATTGTTTCTTGGGAGAAACACTGGAATATCTCACGTTTTCTATTAGGAAATGATTCTTAAATTGGCAAGTATCATCTAATAAAAATTCACATCTTTTTAAGGATAGTGCTTCTAAAATATCTACAGAGTTGCAAACATTTTGAGGAAATTTATAGGTTCCAGTCTTCCTATTTTAAAACAGAAATAATGTCAATCTAAAGAAAATTTGGGAACAACTATTTATTTTAGAATAATTCAAATGTATGGTTTAACAGAAATACCAAGTATTATGGCATATTATAGTAGTATATAGCATAAATATATTCTTTATATATTTAAAATAAAGTTTTAATTATTATTTCTGGCTCCTGAACTGAGATGACTCATCTTAACATGAACACATAACCAGGGCCTGTGACCATGCTTTACATGAAAAACTGAGAAGATGTATGGATCGGGTTTTTTTAAAGTAAGTTATTAAAATTTATGTAATTTCATGAAAAATGGATTCCTTTATGCATCATCTTATTGTTTAGTCATTAAACATCATACATTATGCAGTTGAGCTGGAAATGACTTTCCTCCTTGGTTTAATGCTCTCATTCTTTGCATTTTGTGATTCACCCTCTCATTTAACTTAGGTATGCATCTACTTTTAAATGGATATCCACAGCTGTATGTGCACCAAAGGAACTCAGTGAGGAGGCAAATGCGGAAGCAAATGAGACAGCAAAACCAGCGGCCACTTGTGTCATTCACCTCCAGGCAGTGTTAGCTGTACTGGTGACCACCCTCAGAAAGAGGAAGACCGCAGGAAGACCTGGTTTTCACCTTGGCACAAAGTAACAGCAGTCACCAAATCAATGGATATAGACTTATTTGATTCATATTTAACCAAAGGTATCTGAAATGTATCTTTAAGAAACAACAGATGACATGAGTTAAAACGCTCACTATGACAAAGAACCCTTATGTGCAAAGGACAGAAATACAAACATGGAACCACTCATCTTTCCAACCCTGTAGTAAACAAAAGGTCCAATAAGCACCAACCCCCTTACAAAGACCCAACACTAAAACATGAATATCATGCACTTGTCCTGGTTGCCCGTTACTGACACAGCATTTACTTTTAAAGACATCTGCTTGCGTGCTTTCCAGACATACTGCCATCACCGAAGAAACAGAAATGGTCATAGAACTAGGTTATAGGCTCTTCTGAATACAAAAGCTAGAATAATTACTAATGCTATATGTAAGTACTACATGTTCCACTGTTATGTGGAGGTTTTCTATTGCCTCCTGTTCTAAATGTAAAGGATTTCACTCCTAACTAGAAATACCCACTGGACCTGTATACTCCACAAAATAAAATCAGACTTCTCTACAAAGACCTTTACAATTGGACTGACTTCAGGTTCCTCTCACTGCATACCAACACCACAGCCATAATTTTGCCTAAATTTGCTGCAACCTTTCACCCCTCCACATTTGTACACAGTTTTTTTGTGGTTCCAAATCCCCTTTGCTCCTCTTCTCTGCCACAAAATCCTAGTGCATTTTCAGTATCCAATAAAGACTCTCAAATAAAAACTTCAGCAAGTCTCCATCGCTCCTGATTACAGGTTGCTGCATTGATTTATTTGTACATTTAATACTACATTTTCCTGTGTTCTTTTCTTTCTGTTCTCTTCATTCATCTTCGTTTCTCAAGTGTCTCTCAAAGGCTGGGTGCTCAATATATGCTTAAGGAGGGAGAAGGAAAGAAATGGAGAATGGTAAGGGAGGAAAGGAAAAAGGAAAGGAGAACCTGCTTGCTTCTGTGACAGGATTAGAGAAAATGATAACTATGGTGGAATTTTAGAGTTCCTTTTTAGTAAGAACACCAAAAGATTACATTTTTGAAAGTTAAATGACTGTTGAATCCATTTGAGTAATAAATGAAGCATAGTTAAGCCTTATAGAAATAATGCCAGTAAAGAATTAAAGGTATTATACTAGTGATGTGTGGTAAAATATGCACGGACTGGAACACAGACTGTATTTGAATGTAAATGATAGAGACTACCGGCTGTGTGTCTTGGGAGAACATTACCTTTCTTCCTTTGTAAATAAGTCTAATCACATCTTCCGGCTATGAATATTTTCTGAGAAAACAAAGGCAAAACACTGAGCAAATGTGAACACAAGGTAAATAATATAATGAACCTTAATTTAGAAATAAAGTTGTAGGGGCCAGGCATTTAGCTCAGAGGTTCGGTGGCCTGCCTTGCAAGCCCAAGGACCTGAGTTCAATCCCCGGTACCAAAAAAAAAAGTTGCAGGCTCTCAATCAAAAATATAAACAAAATAATAAATATATTCTACTAGTAGTTTAATTTCAATTTAATAACTTATGAGTATCTATATAACTACAAATTTCATAACTACACAAGAGAAAGCTTTAAACAACAGGTTTACAGAAAGTTCATTACTGTTTTAAGATATCCAGGTTTCTCATTATGATTTTTAACAACAGAACAATTAAAATGAAGAAATTTCTTCATGGCCATTAAACATGTACTTGATTTCCATTAAGGAAGTCATTTAGACCTGGTTCAATAATTCTATATTTTAAGAAAGCTTTAAAAATGTTTCCACACAATAGCTATATGCAAATTCTTTAGAATAATAAAATTGAAAAAAAATCTCCCTTCTTAAACAAAACCCACAGGTCATTATATAAAGTACATCCACCTTCACTGCTGCCAAGCGCTGGGCTGCTTGCGCTCTGCTGGCAGGTGAGCCTGTATTAGGATCACGTCCTGGCAAATGATGATCTCCTGATGGTGACATTCAGCTGATGTCAACATTGTAAACTTCTCTGTTGAATCTGTTTACATTCCGCCTGAGCTGGCACTGCTTTCCTAATGCCTGTGTTAATAGCAAGGTAGAACTGCCATAACAAATGAATTTCATTTAGTCTGCCGCTCGAGCCTTGGAAAGTACCCATCTAAGGCTTAAAACCAATTTCCTTTTAGCTTCAATTTCTCTTCTAAAGAGAAGGAATTTCTGTTACTGAAATTGCTTAGAAAGTCATAACATGTTCAGGTTTCTTTTCCTAGTCATTGCTAGTCTATTTTCCCATTATAGTTAGGTTTTAATTATTCTTAATCCCTTCATATAAATACATAAATGTTTGCCTCTCTATGATAGTTTCGCACTAAGAACACATCTAATTAGGGTTGGGTGGCCAGATTTAACAAAAATACAGCATGTTCATTTAAATTTGAATTTCAGATAAATAGCAAATGAAATTTAAGTACAGGATATATATCTATTTCATAGGATATACTCATACTAAAAAATTATTCATTGTTTATCTGAAATTAAATTTAATTGGATATCTTTTTTTACTCAGGAAACTTGAATTAGGGTATTTTAAAAACTTGCACCATAAGTCTATAATTCAACAGAAAGGTCAAATGTATGCCCTTTCATCACAAACTTTTTCTAATTGGTGGCCTCTTAGCTTTTGTTACTGCTCTTTTGGGTGGTGGAGGGGTGTCAGGGACAGGTTCGTTGTAAAGATAGGTTTTGAAAGAGGCTCTTTTTTCTAACCAGGAAAATGAATAATATTTTTCATTTTACATGATCAGCACCACTGCCCAGCTGCAGTCTTTCTTTTCATAATCATTCAAGAGATAGAGCAGCTCTCAGAGACACCAACTGTCCTTTAAAAATAGCTATCTCACTAAAATCTGGTTTATGGGTCCTAAAAGCGAAACAAGACTGAGTACAGGGAAATGGGCAACTTGGATGAATGCTTCTGTATGCTTAAATATTTACATCCAAAATAAAAGTAACGAATGTTCTATGTTTTAAAAATTAGGATAAAAGGCTAAAGGGCACAAAAGAAAAAGATATAAGAGCTGTCTTGCAAAGATCTGCCAAAGACTTAACATCACGTTAGATTCTTCATTACCTTATTCCACTTTAAGAAGGCACTGCCCTTGGAATGCAAATCCTTCTGACCTCCAGACTCCTCTTCGCCCCTCACTCAGGGTCTCACCAGGCACCATCCTCAAGCTAACATACTGGGTGCCCCCACTCTTGCTGTTCTAGTTTCCTGCCCATCGATGAATTTAATAAACATGTATTAAAGCAATGGGCAAGATGAAGGGTTCATATTACCAAATTGCTTGTGGTATAGTAGCCTGGGCTGATAATCAAAAGAGAGATTCATAATAAGCACAATACACTGCAATTCAAAGGTTGAGAAGAATACAGTGGAAACATCAGTAAAGGCCCAGTAAAAATTTTTCTTGGCAATCAGAACCACTGAAGTCTGCATCCTAGTCCTACCTTTGATTGCCCAGTGACCTTGGGTATGTAACTGAGTGCTTTAAATTTCTTTTAATATTTGCCTATCTCAGACGACTGTTCCCAGCTTTAAAATGAACAATATTATCTAAAGATGTACTTGCTCACAATGAATATATTTATTACATATACAGACATATACTAGTAAAAAGGGCAAAAATTAAAAAATAAAATGTTTTATATGCTGCAAGATGTCACAGTAAGAACTTAGGAAAGGTCAGAAATTGTAGACTAAGCAAAATTATTATGAATGTGTTGTTGAAAATGGACAGCCATGGTATAAATAGTAGATCCTCAAATTACTGGTTATGAAAACTCAAGAAAGTCATTTAACCTCCCTGTACTTCATTTCCTCATTTATATTACAAGACAATAATGGCACCTGTCTCACTAACATTGTGGAAAGGATGAAATTGATTATTTCATGGGAAAAATATGTAAAACTACAGTTTCCAAGATGGTAAGCACCTTAGAAACATTATCTACTTTGTCATTATTATCATTGTCATGGCTATTATTTCAAGAGGTAGCATTTCAGGTAAGTCTTAATGGACTGCTAATATCTAAAGAAAAGAAGAAGAAATTTGCCGCTGAAGGATCCGTAAGAATAAGGGCAGGGAGGAACAAAGCAAGAAACATTTGCTCAAGGGTAAAAATCATAGATTGGCCAGAGAATATGGATCTAGGTTAGAAAGCTAAAAATTGCTGATGAAGGCTTGAATGTAGGAAGGGCTTGATGCAACTGGGAGGGGTCTATAAATATTCATGATCCAACAGGGAAACTACCAAAGTCTTGGAACAGAGGAATAAGGTGATTGTGGTTTTATTAGATAAACCCGACAGCACTGGTTCATGGGTAGAATACAAGATAATAGAGGCAGAAAGATGAGTTAGGAGGCTACACACTCAGGCAAGCAGTCAGGAGAGAATGCATGAGGGCATTCCAAATGAGAATAGAAAAGAGGGGACAAACTGCTGAGATTGTAGGATCACTGCCTGTAGGATGTGGCCACTGAGTAGGGGAGGGAATTATGGAAGGGTAAGCCAGAGAAGCAACTGCCTGGGAAACAGACCAGATGCAGACTGGATGTGAGTGACAGGTGACTGAGAGTTGAGACCACAGCTCATTTTTTTTAGCAAGGAAGAAGCTCTTCTGAGCTGGACAAAATGAAGTCTAGAATCTTGCCATGACTACAGAGACAGCACAACAGTAATGGAAAATGAGTGGCCAAAGACAGTCAGAGAAAGAAGCAACAAAGATGACCCGTGGACCCTGGAACAGAATGCATGAAAAGTTGCTTCATGAAAAAGAGAGCATCCAGTAAGCAAAGGAGAGGGAAGAAGGGAGCATCAATCTGTGCTTGTCATCCGCTCAGAAACCTGCACTAAGTTCTTAGGGTTAAGCGTGGCGCTCTTCCTCTCGGGTCTCAGACGACCCTAGTAGAGATCTTATCAGAGAATAGTAAGATTATCACACACACTGGTCTGATGGCAAAAACTGATCACACAGATGTACAGATGTGGTCAGTAAGTGAAAAGTGAAAAGTGACTAAATGAACACGTTAACACTTGACACCTTGCCCCTCCATGTCACTATTACATCAGAATGCTCTTCCCCAAGTTACAAATTTGACTCTCACTTACAAGTGTATGGTCCATTCTACCTAAGTGTCAGGCCAAATTACTTTATTTGTCAACTTGCTATAGTAACAAGTAAATGGAATGAATAATTTTCAAAATGTATTCCCCAAAGCCTTGGGAGTCCTGTGAAATACCTAACCGCACCTCCTATCAACCCACCTGCCTAGGGACCATGCAGAGTAAAAGTTGAAAGGAGGGAAGAAAATAGCAGCCATACTTGAACTGGCTGCATAGGACATTAGTTCTGCATAGGACATTGTGATAATGTTATTTTAGCCGGGCATGGTGGCGCATGCCTGTAATCCCAGCACTTGGGAGGCTGAGGCAGGAGGATCGCTGTGAGTTTGAGACCAGCCTGGGCTATATAGTGAGTTCCAGGTCAGTATCAACTAAATAGTGAGATCCTGTCTCAAAAAACAAAAAAAGAAAAAGAAAATAGTTATTTTGAAAAAGGACTCTGGGGTTTTTCAAACTTTAAATATACTATATACCCCTCGAAGTATATAATATTTATATAAAATTCTTTAGTTTATTTTAAAATTATTGCCCAGTCTAACTCAAAATATGATTCCAAACGTTTTCACCATTCTGCTCATTACTATCTCTCCATGTGGAGGGAAGTAAAGCGCTGGGCATATTTCCATTTCTTGTGTGGTTTATTTTCTATAGTATTTTCTGTTTTCCAATCTTCACCCAGAAGAGCTATCCTCCAAGAGGCCCAGTAATCCACTAACACAGGTTGTTCTTGTGAAATTTGGAGCTTCGGTGCAGCTTCATACTAAGTTTCTGTTTCAACAGGCATGGGGCAGGAGCCTGCCAGGCAGCAGTGTGGACAAACTGGATAGCAAGAACCAGTACGTACTCTTCCTTCCCCAACCCACATTTGATAATGTCAGGTTGATAACTTGAAATCAACCATGCTGGGGGTATTTGTCCTATGGATACAAGCTTGCATCATGTTTTTTAGTTTTGCTTTGTGTTTTGGGGTACTAGGGGTTGAACTTGGGTCCTTTCCCTTGCGAGGCAGGCGGCAGAACCACTGAGCTAAAACCCTATCCCTGTTCTACAGAAATCCTCAAATACTACAAATGGGGCTTCCTTTCTACCCAGGGATCCACCTTACTGGCACACCACTCAACTTCCTTCAGATTTCTACATAAAATGAATGCACAACCATGGCTGAGATCTACTGTAAAGAGAATAACATATTCACCAAATTAACTTTTCAAGAGTCGTACATGTCTGCAAGTACATGTCAGCAGCCTCACTACCTGGTGCAATATTTTATACCAGCATCCTCTTCTAAAAATCTATGTACTGTGCACATTACTTTAAAATGACTGAAATCTTTAATGTTAAAAGGAAGTTTGCTACATTTTTATTTAAAAGACTAATCATAGAATTTTAATGATGTAATGAACTTAAAAAGTTATGCAATATAAACCTTTAAGAGTTAAGACAAAAAGTAAGTTTGGAGAAACTGAGACTCATTTACAGCTACTAAACTGCACAAACACAGCACCAAGATTTCCATGTATATCTGCTAGCTCACCACCTAAATTCTACATGGGATAACAGGGTGGGTTGTTTAAAAATAGAAGAGAAAGAAAATTAATTCCATTATGACTTCTCAGTTCTAGTCCTAAGGGACCTTTTTGAGTGATAAAAAGGTCTATGACACTAAAAAGAACTAATGCTTTCAAATGAAAATGTCGATACATAGCTGGAGTGAAATAATTAAAAAGCCCACGTATTTGCATAACTCATTATTTGAATACAGCAAATACTCATTTTGAAATCATCAGTCACGGAAAGAAAGATTCCAGATTCACAGGAGGCTGAACAATTATCACGGATTCAAGTTACTGCTATCACGGTTCCCTAAGTACATAATCTTACAGACTGATAGCAAACAATCCATTGCCAGCTGGTTTTTTTAAACTATAATGAAGTGAAGATAAAAACATTGTACCCATGCAAGAAGCAACAGGTTTCTTTTCACCGTTCCACAATATCCCAGCATCCCCACAATGATAAGGAAGCAACAAACAGCAATCATGACCGGATGAACTACAGGAAAGTAAGTCAAGATGACGGCCTCCTCTACTCTGAAAGAAAAAATATCAGACTGTAAGTAAGATATAGTCCACATATTCCCAAGATATAATGTAAAACTTAACCATTATTAAGTGCTTACAAAGTCCATTGTGATTAGGATTTTTTACAATAAAGCTATATCATATAATCCTTAACACAATTCTGAGCAGTATATATTACAGCCTTCATTCAGAGATGAGGACAAAGAATTTGTCCCTTGTCATGTTAGGGGATCAATCCTTGAAATTTAAGAAGAAAATAGTGTTGAGGTTTGGCTTTCATTATCTGAGGAAAACAAAGGTAAGGGGAAGTGGACAGTGGTTTTCTTAGGGGAAAAGAGCTCAGCTGTTCTTTACACACAAAAATGACATGGCTGAGATGCAGTAAGGAGGACAAGCAGTGTTACTATACCCAGAAGTGTCAATAGGAACACACTGCTGCCGGAGCCCTTACAGGAGTGGTGGCAAACCTCGAAGACAATGCTGGAAAATACAAGTGTCTGCAGCAGTGGGCAGGCAAAACTGCCCTAAAGAGCACAGAGGAGCACCATCCTGTAAACAGCTAAAGACAGAGGTATTTAAAAACCAGGATCTGAGGAAACCTAATGAAAGAATTCTATCAGTAATTACAGAGTTTACCTTGTTTCAGCAGTTAAAGTCAGAACATTATTCAGGTAATCCCTCATCCAAGCAGAGACCGCCAACACACTGATGGACATTAACTGTGGAGAAAAATACACACACAAATAGGTTACCAAGGATTTATGCAACATTCACTGTAGTTTTTTAAAGATAAGGATTTTTCTACATAATTTTATAGCTTTTCCTAATTATTACTGAAATTTATAATTATACAATTTATTTAGTAATCATTCTATAGTCACTAAGTAAAGTGTCACCAAATAGGATAGAGAAAATTAAACTATCAAATGATGCTGTCAGGTTCAGGACAGAAATAATCTAAGGTGAGGAAACTACAAAACTAAATTATCAAATATATAAAATGTGCCTAAAGCACACTGACATACTTAAAAGCAAAGAAGTAATGAAATACTACTACTGGGAAATTAAATATTGTCAAAAGATGTCAGAAGCTGACTTAAAAGGCCTTCTTTTGGATAAAATTTAAACAATGTCAACATTAAAGTAATAATATATGCAATGGTTTGAAACATCAAATGCTCTAAAATCCATAAGCTTAAAATTCTTAAAACTCACTGGTCACCTTTATAGGATGCTCATACGCAACTCAGTATCCAGATATTTGGTAAAATCCCTATTTATATTTATTCTACTTTTCCTGAACAACTAAAGGGAAAACCAAAGACTGAGTGAAAGTTTTAGTAGAAGAGTTTTTGCTAGTATGTGAAGAAATTATACTGCCAAACCACCATTTAACAAACTCTTCTGAAAGAACGGATCTACAGGAAAAGTTCTGATCACTACCAAATTTTTCAGGTCATGGATCCTTAATACAGTCTGTACATTGCAATCACCTCAGATTCAAAAAATTACTAAGCTGAGGCCCACCATGGACCAATTCTTGGAGTGAGGCCTGATCATCAGAAAGGGCTAACAGCTTCACAGCTGTTCTAATGCAGGCAGAACTGAGAACCCCTACATCAGGTGAAAAGGTTGATGGAGAATTCCAGTTGATGGTACCAAACTCCACTGCTCTCTTGTACTATATAAACAAGACTTAATGCATCTTCCAACATGACTGTAATACCTATGAAATATTTTACTGAAAAATCTAACCAGAACTTTATTAAGCCTCCAGCTCTATCAGTTTATGAGAAATACAGGGAACAGATTTAAAACTTCTTAAATGCCACCTGAGGAATGCAATCAGTAAAATCAAGAACATGAGATTACTTTGCAAGACTAATTATCTTGTTTCTTTAATTTACAAAAAATTGGCAAATGGAAAAAAAAATGAAAGAAGGAAAAAGATTTAAGAGATTTGCCAGTATACGCTAACCTGGTTTGAATCTTGATTCAGGCAAATCAACTGCCAAGATGCATTTATGTGACAACTGGGAAAATTTTAACAATGATTGGATGTCTCAAAACTTTAAGAAATGAGCTTTGTTATTCTAGATGTAAAAATGGATTAAGCTTATTTGGGGGCTTATTTCTTAAAGGACCTTTATCTTCGAGAGATACTCTCTGAAGTCGTTATAAATAAAATACAATGCCTGAGATGTGGTATAATAAAAAGTCATGATGTATAAGGGTAAGATGGAGCATGGAGGAGGGTATACTGATAATTATTGACACTGGGTAATGGGTAAGATGAACTATACTCTTGCTTCTACTTTGGTATATGTTTAAATTTTTCACAACTCAGTAAGTTTTTAAAACTATCTAAAATATATTGGGAATGAGTTTTCATGAGAAGCTTTTCATTACCATTATGCCAGAGACTTAGCTTTAAGTGCTGATACAATGAGTATCTTGGACAGAGGTGAGTCTTCTTTGACACAAGCAGGCTTCTAGATGAACAGGCTTTCTAGATAAAGGTTCCAAAGAGAGCTTTGTCCTCTCTTGAACAATGAAGAATGACTATCAGCTTGGAAAACCAGCTAATTAGTTCACTTTTGCCATTTGTTTATAAATATTCACTTAACACCTACTATCTGTCTGCTTTTCACTGGGCTAGACTCACAGTAAATAAAGCAAACAAGACCCTGCCCTTTTTTGCAGCCTCATGGAGGACACAGGCAAAAAATATACATGCAAAATAATGAAAAACTGGAAGAAGTGCCATGAAACACAGATAAGTGACCTGATGAGGGTCCAAAGACCAAAAGCGGCAAAGCAAGGAATAAATACCATGCGACTGGGCTTTGGAGATCCAGGATAAGACCCTATCTCTCAAATTTAAAAATGAGCAAAACCTATTTCACAAAAGTGTGGGGACCAGCCTGCACAGTATGCACTTTTTCAAAGAGAGCAGTCTTTAGCAGTCTGGCTCAGCTCAGTCTATCTACATGGCTATACTACATCCTTTGTGATAAATGAGGGCTCGAGGCTGCTTAACCTGGAAATAGAAATGTACTTCAACATTTGTAAACCAATACATTTTATTTTGTGTATTAAAATACATTTATTCAAAAATAGGTTCTTAAGCTGTACAAGACCTAAGACAAGTTTAGGAGGTCTGGAATCACAGTTCAGAGGAGAGTTAGGACAGTAACTATTATCTTCATTTCTTTTGGAGATGAAGAACAGACTGCAAACTTAATAAAACTACCAAGTGCATCAGCCACAGTGTAGTAGCCATGTTTTTAGCTTCTGTAAAGATGCCTTCACATTTGTTCTATCAGCAGATGCCAGATATTTTCTTCCAGAGAGTCTGATAATATGCTTCAATCACTTTGCCTTGACCTCTTTCCTCCCTCATCTCCGATCTCGTCCTTGGGCAAAGCTTTCCTCCAAGGGATCCACTTTTCAACTACAAATCAACCAAGAAATCACACCCCCAAGCACCTCCCTTACCAGGCTCTCACACTCAGGCCACCATAAACACAGCCTAATCACCCCAGGGTCAGTTATTCAAACAGGCCAGTCCTAAACCCTCACATATTCCTTCCCCTTGGAAACAACAATGAAACACCAGTTCACAGGTCCCATCTCTCCTTCTACCTGTGACTGAACCCCATGAATGATCTCTTACCTCCATAGTGAGACTGATATTTCTCTTGGAATCTGTGAGTACAATGAACTACCTTTTTGATGGCCGTCATCTACCAAACTGTTGCCTTAGTATATCTAGTAATAATAACACTACTAAGAACAAAACCTATTAAAACACAAAAGGCTAGCAGAGGGCCATGGGACTGTTAATTGAATCTTAGATCATGTGTCTCTCTACTTGGATAAATTTATTTTTTTGTTTTGTATTTTTGGTACTGGGGATCGAACTCGGGACCTTGTACTTGCAAGGCAGGTGGCAGAAGCACTGACCTAAATCCCCAGCCCTAAGTTTGAGTCTTTAAGTAACTTATAAGTGACACATGGAGAGGACAGCTTATTAGCATGCTCTTTTGTTCATCATCTTGAATTATTTTGCAGTTATATTTATTTAATTTTATTCAAAGTAATAAGTGACTTTGATACCTCCATCCTTGAATTTCTTGCAGGCTGTTTAGTCCACTTTCAACATCAGAGCTGAGTCAGGTGTCAATAAATTATCTGATACTTCATGATATATAATCTGTTAACACTGGTCATTATATACAATTCTTCCATTTATAATGAAAATGTGTATCAAAATAAGATTTTTTTTTGTACTGTAGGACAATTAAATGAGTGTCTAAGTCAGGAATGAGTCTTCCTTGACACACAGTGGCCATGAAACAGGCTTTCTAGATAAAGGCCCCCAAGAGAACTTTGTGCCTTAACAATAAAGGATGTTGATCTGCTTGGAAAACCAGCAAAATATGTAGTTCACTTTTCTCATTTGTTTAAAAACATTTACACGATATCTGCTATTTGCTTTGTGCTGGGCTAGATTCAGTGATGCACAATGAATAGAACGAGACCCTGGCATTTTGCAGCCTCTTGGGGCATAGAACATTAAGTACATCCGCAAAATAATGAAAAAACTGAAGAATGAAATCATTCTTCCATTCTAAAAATACAAGTTGATCACCTGCTCTTTGTGCTACGTAAGAGATGAGAGACAGAGACTATGGTGCAATTGACTAAGCGAAGAGAACATACACTAATTAACTCATCGGGAATATAAATATGTAACTATATAACTGCAAAGTGTATTAAGTGTTAGGAGGAAATAGCACAAGTTGCTCTACGAACTGACTTATGTCACAGTGTCAAAGGGACTTGTCTTGGAGAGCTAAGATCTGAAGAATATTGGCAAGTTAATCAGGAGGAGAGGGTTGTAAAGAACCTTCCAGTCAGAAAAAAGAGCAAAGGTCCTAGGGTGGAAGGCGGCATGACATATTCAAAGGAAACTGGTACATGGTAAGGATCAGGCATAGGTCAGACTGCAGAGTCTTAACATGTATGGTCTTGACCATAGGACAAAGGGAAGCCATTGAACTTTGAATTCCAGTTAGGAATCTCAGCTCTACTCCTTTTCATCTATATGGCTCTGGATATACCATTTAATTCTTCTCAGCTTCAGGTGTGTGTTTTTTTTTTTTTTTTTTTTTTTTTTTTTTTTTTTTTT